GCGCAAATCGAAGAACGCCTGCAAAAGGCTGCCTTTCTGGTGGACACCTACGCAGGTTCATGCGGCCTGGAGTGCTCTCCAGCTAAATCGGCTCTTCTTTCAGTCTCTCCGCTACCGCCGCCTCAAATTTTTCTTCCGTCCGGGCCCGTCCCGTCAGTGCAAAATATTCGGGTTCTTGGCCTTCACCTCACATCGTCCTTGGATCCAAAGGGCACAATAGCAAGCCTCAGACGCACCAGCGAACAGGTGAGCCGCATGATACGGCGAGTGTCTACCAAGCGCGGCGGCCTCCGCGGGTCTCAGTCCCTCCGATTGGCCCACGCGTTTGTGACCAGTCGCGTCCTCTACGCCTTGCCTTACCTTCGCCTGCGTCGTCGACACGAGCACCAGCTGGACGTCCTTCTTCGTTCAGTATACAAACGCGCTCTGGACCTACCTATTGCAACTTCCAACAGCCGATTCACGGCTTTGGGGGTACACAACACCTTTGCAGAGATGCGCGAAGCTCATCGCGTTAACCAAATCAATCGACTGTCACAGACGCCTTCAGGGCGCCGTCTTCTACACAGACTTGGCCTTAACCCGATATCTGACCAAGACCCTCTGGAGCCGGTACCAGAGCTCTGGCGTCAAAAGCTATGGGTGGAACCTCTACCCCGTAATATGAACCCTGACCTCCATCCTGGCCGTAGACTAGCACGCGCCGCGGCCCTTCATACGCGACACTCCGATCGTCCTGGTGTTTTCTACGTGGACGTCTCGGGTCCCTCCCCCTCGGGTCACTTCACGGCTGCCGTGATTACAGAGGGCAAACACGTAGATGGCCTCTCCTTTCGAGCAGACACAGTAACGCACGCTGAAGAGGTTGCCATAGCTTTGGCCGCCTCTCACCCTGCTTCACGCACCATCCTGACGGACTCGCGCTCGGCCTGTTCTCAGTACCTTCAGGGTTCCATTGCCCCGCTGGCGGCTAGCCTACTACAGGCAGCCTCTTGGCGCTTTAACCCTCATCCCATTCGTATAGTGTGGACCCCAGGCCACTCGGGCCTGCCCGGCAACGAGGCGGCAAATGCCGCTGCCCGCGCTTCTCCTGTCCGGGCCGTTGCCCCTCCATGTCCCGAGACGGAATCTGGCAATACCAACCTGACGCGCTTTCGCGAAATTTTGGCTTATTACCGGGCTTCGCGCCGCCTCTACCCGGACCCCGCACGCGGTTTGGAGAAAGCGGACGAACGACTGCTACGCCGCCTGCAGACGAACACCTTTATCAGTCCGGCGGTCGCCAGGCACTTTTTGCCGGAAATCAATGGCACCTGCTCGACCTGTCATGTCCTCGCCGACACATATCACGTCGTAGCATCGTGCCCAGTTAATCCCGTCCCTTTCTCATCCCCTTTTCCTATCCCAACTAGAGAGGCTTGGGAGGAGCACCTGCTCGGCTGCTCTACCTTGGCTGCACAACGCTCCTTGGTGGAGCGCGCGCGGGCAGCTTCCAGCTCCACTGGCGTCCCGGAATAGGGTCTTGCCACTCTAGCACGCCGATGGGCCACGTCGGCACTCTCTAGTAGACTTTTTCTGAAATAAATGTTTTTTACCACCACCATCAAAAAGCGACTCAAGGCGGCTGACGTTCACACGTGTCTGCGAATTCTGCCCGTTGCCACGCAGAATCGAAGCCTCCGCGGGCACTTGGCTAGGAGGATGCTTGCCACGTGAGCCGTAAAGATTATTGCCAGCGCTCCCTGTTCCTTCCCCCTCGGCTGCCGAAAAGAGGTGTCAGCTGTGAACGCTCGTCGCAATGGCCAAGTAATATGTACAGTAGGCCTGGAGAAGCGTCAGTCGTAGACGCTGCGACAATCGTTGAGGTGGCGTCACTTCCTACGCTACCGGCAACAATGTCTGCTGTGAGCGCTCCTCGCGGAGACTACGTTAAACTACGGGGACATCTTGCTCCCATGTCAAAGCAAGTGACGTCGCAGGCTTCTATTGTGAAGGCGCCATTGGGCTACCATGACTACTCATATGTGGTGGTTTAACGTCCCAAAACCACCCTATGATTATAGGAACCACCTGGTGTTCTTAAATATGCACCGAAATCTGAGCACGTGGGCCTACAGCATTTTCGTCTCCATCGAGAATGCAGACGCCGCATCCGGGATTCAATCCCGTGACCTACGGGCAAGCAGCCAAGTACTTTGGCCACTAGACCACCAAGGCGGGGCGAGCATAGCTACTACGCCGCAAAATAAGTTCATGCCCTGTTCCTGCGCATCTTATTGGTTGAAAGGTTAGCGACTGCAGTTGTGTGGTTGAAAAATTGAGTGGTAAGTGACTTGGCCAAAGTGACCGTTTTGACCGGTTGCGTACGAGCCTTAACCGAGCCTACAAAACAGGTGCAGCAGCCGAATAATACGCTGCGCAGACAAAGTCTGCACCGATCCTAATGCCTTGCGGTACGGGATGCATGCATTTCGTACGGATGCACAAAATGTTCTAAAGCTGTATGCAGTGTTTGATATAAAGATGATGTGAAAAACAGACGATAAATAGGTACAACTTTATATTCTTTTAAAGAAAAAAAACGCCTCTATAACTTTCAGAGTGACCAGCTCCGCTTATAGTTTAGCGGACTTGGGTTTCTATTAAAGTTAGTCAACCGTATTATTTTTTAGTGCTTGTGTTTTCAGGACAGATTTCATTTTTCCTTTAAGTATATTTATGTTATTGCTCTTGAAGTTGACTAATAGGGTTTATCGTTCATTGATAGCGTATTTCTCGATGACTGAGTGTTTAACTACTACAATGAAACATATGTTCGTAAGTAAGTAATATTTGAAAAGTTAAGTAGAACACATGCAGTGTAGAGAGTGGATACTTAGGTTTTGTCAATAAACGCGTTTATCTTTTGTTACTATAGTGGTACATGTTCTCACTGTTAAGAACAAAGTAACTTTTTTACGTTTGTTTTGTATCTGAGGTAATTCGCTTTTACAACCGAAAGAAATATGGCTACGGGGACGTTATTCGCATTGGAGCCTTTTGGGCTCCTCAAAAGAATCACGCCGCCTTTTTCTTAAGTGTGCGTGGCTGTCAGGCCCGGCCTGCCCTTTGTGCAGAAGCTCCGCCTCCGTAGCTTTCCCTTCAGTGCCAAGAAAAGTTGTCGCCCAGCATGGAGGAAGTTAAAAATAGTATCCTATCCCAATGCATTGCGAGAAGTGTGACGGAAGTGACGTCAAACTTATGGGGCAAACAAACCGGTGTGGGGCAAACAAAGCAGCAGACGCTCTACGGCGTGCTCTCGGCGCCGTTTCGCTTATATAGTCCCGGCGTCAACATGAAACATATTGTATGGTTTGCATGCAGTAGAATGTTGCGAGCTCACTTTTCCCACACATTTCGTGCGTGTCAGGCCCGAGCGCGGCGTGCTGAAATACTTCATGGAGTGTTTTTGTGCAACAGCACAGAAAGCTCCGGTACGCGCCGTAATCAAAATCATTCAGCTCCTGCATCATCGTATTCGCACTTACCCGGCAGTGACTTACGCGTTCTGCTCGCCGCAAGGCCTTTTTTTTTCTCTCCTTCTTAGCCATATTTCCTGATCTACGGGCCGATTAACCGTTCTTTGCTCGTATATAGTGTCAGTGTGGCAATGCACGATTTTTAGAGCTTGCTTCGTAGCTATTCCGTGCAACAACAGCCTAGTACTTGACGTACTTCACGTCGGTAAGAAGGCACAGCTGTATTGTATACGTGATCGGGCACGTAAAGTGTGCATTTCCAGTGCGCACACAACTAACACGCAGAGAGCGTACACCGTACAATGCATACACACTTAGTCCGCTAACGAGAAAAGTTGATTGTCCTTCCGTATGAACGACACAACTTCTACAAACGCGACACGATGCCAACAGCACTAAAAACGAAAGTTCGCGTGTGTTCTCAGTTGACGCAACGAGTAACTTACGGAGCGTACAGCCGAGAGGTCCGCATGCAAATGCCACCAACAGTGAAGCGAACATACGTGAAAAGTGCCACCAGGTACATCTGGCGGTGCACGTGATTCGCACAGAGTATACACTACAGCTGGGCATCGCACAACTTTTCTAAAAAATAAACACGCAAAAGAAGCAGCACTCGTGGGTTGACTCGCTGCTGGCTGCGAACACCGCTTCCAGCTTCTAGTACACTCTACCGCTTCCAAGGCCGCTGCGGGGGCTGTCACCGGAAATCGCGAAGTGTTTATTCGCTTCTCCGCTATGAGGTGGTGCGGGCGTTTGCGATGCGGGGGCTTCACGAATATGACGTCATGGCCTCTCCTATATTTTTCCTGCCGCCATGTCATCGAGTGTAAAACACGTGGCTTTAAAGCCGGCTGCCTGCTTCTTAGCCACGCCAATCCGACCAATGCTGACACATTTCACGCTCAATCCTCTCGACCGAGAGCAGATGACCGTCAAACTACAGTGCTCTACACTCTAAAAAAAAAAAGAGCGAGTAAAAAGGGTGTCCTTTTTGTCTTACAACAATAATCGTCACCTATATTGCGTTCCATCCTTGCGCTATCGCCCCGCGCCCGGTACATTCCGGTCACGATCGACATGTCCATTATCAGGGTTACATTGCATTCTTGATAGGAAAGTGGACAGCGCCGAGTTTTCAAGAAAGGAAGCGCACGCAAGCCTGATGACGATTATTGTTGTGAGACAAAAAACACACACCCTTTTTACTCGATATTTTTTTAGATTGTAGATAAGTTGTCAAACGAAGGGATCGAAATAGCGGCGACACATTTCCATCCGTGCTGCGAGCGGAGGAGAGCGGGTGAAGCGAGGACGATACGTTTTGATGACGCGCACGTCATGTGATGCGCCATCCGCTGCGAAAATTCCTCCTCCTTTCCCTCGTGTGAATCTACCTTAAGGGGCGTTATCGGCACTCAGGTGATAGCGAACGGCGTTCATCATTGGGAGCGCGTCTCTTTACAGCCGTCCATATATACCATGCCGTACCGCGAAGGGCATCACGCTCTGTACCAACTGAGCGACTCGGTGAGCGGCGCGAACTGGCGTCCGACGCGGTTCGAGGACGAGTTCGCGTTGAGTCTTTACGCCTGCCACGTGTGCCACGTCATTCCGAGCAGCACGGTACTGCTGCCCTGTTCGCACTCCCTGTGCGAGAACTGTGTGATGGAGTGTGGCGTCCAAGATGACGGAAACGTCTGTCCCCTGGACACCAAGCCATTCTGCCAAGAGGACTGCCAGAAGATCAAGCTTCCTGACAAGAAGAAGAAAAATCTGACGGTAAGTATCACGTATCTTTTGACGCTTCCTACGCAGGGACGACAACTTATGAAGGACGGTTAATGGCCTTCCGACCTTTCTCGTATCTTCGTTGACGTCCGATGTCCGTCCACGTGCAGTGTTTTTTTTTAACGACCGCTTCTTTATGTTCTGCTATAAGTCATTCGCCGAGACCACGGTGCGAGACAGAATGTCAATTGTGGACGACGCGCCATATTCCGTAAAGCAAGCCTCAATGAAACCCCACCGCTATGATAGAGCGACGAGTTGGTGAGAAAAAGGAGGGCTCTTATGGAAGAGCTGTTTAGGATTGAGGGTTGCCTCGCCGCGGTGGTATAGTGCCTAAGGTACTCGGCTGCCGACCAGCAGGTCGCGGGATCGAATCCCGGTTGCGGTGGCTGCATTTACGATGGAGGCGGAAATGTTGTAGGCCCGTGTGCTCCTGAATCCTATAATCATATATATAGTTTCTTATAATCATATGGGGGTTTCGGGACGTTGAACCCCACGTACCAATCAATAAATCAATTATAATTGAGCGCTGGCGTTGTATTGTTTCGAAGAACTAGCGTTGCCTAGCAAGCGTGTCACCGTGGCTTAAGATGCAAAGAATATAGGTTACTCAGTGCCCTTGGCAAAGCTGCGCCTGGATTTGCGGAAAGCCCTGCGTATCAAAACGATGGAAAACAGTGGAAAAGGGGGGCGAAGAAAAAAAGAATGTGGCTGATGCCTCTTTTTTGGAATCAGTATAACACGAAAGCGAGCTAGACGTGTCTTCACAGAAGTATTCCAAAAGGACTTGTTTTTGGGCTACTTGGTGCATACTTGGTGCAGAATACTGAGGCGCAAAAAACGTAACGTGAAGCAGAAAGAGCAGGAGAGAAGATAAAAAAGCGCCAACTACCAACTGTTTAATGACCGTCTAGAAAACGCACTGGAAAGTAGACAAAACCGCGCATGCGTGCACAACCAACAAACAGCATGCGCATCTTCCAGCGCACTGTAAAGCCTGCAGATGTGTGCCATTGTTTGAAAGGACGGTGATTCTTGGTAGGAGCAAAAAACAGAGCTCTCTGAAGCCTATTACATCAAAAAGGGCCCGATTGTATCAGTGATACATCTATTGTGTTGTACGCAACAGAAATGCATTTTTTGGATAACTTAGTGCCTTGTTCATGACGCTGTGTGATGTTTGTTGGCTGTGCACGCACGCGTGGTTTTGTCTTCTTTCCAGTGCGTTTCCTAGACAGTCATTAAACAGTTGGTAGTTAGCGCTGTTCTGCCTTCTCTCCTGCTCTTCCTGCTTCACGTTATGTTTTTTGCGCCTCAGTCTTCTGCACCATTAACAGAAGTAGTTGGGTGTTTATTGTGCATTGGTTCGTCACATGGGTGAAGGAATGACTGCTCCAGCAACAAATTTCAAAGTCACGTGAAAAACGGCAAGCAGCTCGAAGCATGCCATGCGCACCTCAACCAGAAATAACGCGCGAAATGACCTCAGACAAGACGACTGCGGACAACCAACTGTCACAGCTCGACTTTTAAAGCACGCATCTGAATGAGACGATTGAGGATTGATTCATATGTAATAGTTCAGTACGAAGTACACGAATTCGATAAACATTTTTTAAACACATATTTCACGTCCCAAAACCACCGTATGAATATTAGAGACGCCGTAGTCAAGGGTTGCGGAAATTTCGACCACCTGGGGTGATTTGACCCAAGTCTGAGCACACGGGCTTACAGCATTTTCGTCTCCGGCTACTCAAAGAAGAATGCGTGAGAAACCTGCGCTCAAGTATATACATAAGACGAGTGCTAACTGTAACAACTGTTACTTCTTCGTGTGTGAGCGGCGTGCTCTTAACGTAAACGCCACCACGACAGTCAAAGAAGTGACCTTCGGACTTTCTTTAACCATTGTAATTTCAAACCTAACTTGTGGGGAACGCACAAGCATAGAGTTACTATACGATGGTACAAGGAGACCAAATCCTGAGATGAGTGTGCACGCTATAGTAAGCCTTCACCACGCCATGATAAGGCGCATGCGCATAGTAACGCGCGGAGTGGCACCCGGCGACGACCTTTTGGGCGAGTGCGCCCAACGCATGCTTCTCGGGCCATCTTGCTGCTCATGACGAAGACACTGAGCTCTGAGGACCGCCAACGCTCCACGGCGTAGTGCTTAGCGCCACGCGCGGCGGGTTGAAAGGGAGCTGGTTCGACGCCCCACAACAAAAGATTTTCTTCCCATTTGATTGCGATAGCAATTTTATGGACAGTCTCGGCTCGTTTTTACCGTTGCCGAAGCTGCCGTCATGCACCGTATACGTATACGTACTCATATATAGGAAAACGCGGAAAGAAAAAGAAATCGCAGCATATCCACGGACTGAATCTTGATGAGTGGGGTGAAGCGTCCGTGCGTTTCTATTTTTTGTATCAAGCTCACCTACCATTATTCCTGTTCGGATGTTGCGATCCAGGACGGCGTGCGTGAACGTTGATGCCCTCACAATGGGATGGGTGACGTTAGGGCGTATACGCATATAGAAGCTATTACAATCCGAATGCTGAGCTGACATGGACAACCGCATTTACAAGTAATTGCATAGAAGGATATTAAATATGCATCTCCAAATCAAATCGTCGACTGCCTGCCGTCTCCGAGAGGTCTCCCCTATTCATCAAGATTGGCCTTTTCCTCCATTGATTATGGCCGATGGCGAGAGGGCAAGGAGTAATGTAGAACCAAGCCCAATTGGGGCAACATGGAAGATGCCCCGCTGAGCACGAGCCGTTCTCGTGGTCCTCGCTAGCCCTGTATTTCCTCCGTGTGATTTGCATTCAAAGGTGCTCCCGAGGTAGGGACATCCGGTCAGGCAGCACCCACACTGCTGCTGCATATGCAAGGAACGCCCGGGAAAGCTTCTTCGGCATGGTTCACACACGGTTGTGGTCCCCATGGATGGTACTACAACCGCCCTGCTTGCAGTTTCTTTCTTTTTTTCGGGTAATGCAGTCCCGATAAGAACAGCACCTTCTGCACATGTTCAACATTCATATATGAATCTTATTTTTCTTTATTGAAATGCGGGCGTTTTATTATTGTCGTGTGTTCGAGTATGTATTAAAGCTGCTTTGCTCGTCAACCGGTTCGCAGGTTACTAAATCTTACATTTGACGTCAGCTAGTGACGAATGACGTCAGTACGACATAAGGAGCAGATTTATCGGTAAACAAGTGTCTACAGTGGCATAATGAAGAGAGATGCGTTCGGAACCCGAGGGGGGCTCGTATGTCCTTTGGGCATTTTTTGAACCTGTTTTAAAGCTTACGTCACATCGGCAAATCATAGCGTTGAATAATAACAACCAGGAATTGCTTGGGTATTATAGGTGCCAAAGCATCGATGTGAGTATCGGCAGCACGGTAGTGGGTGCTCCAGAAATTTACACCACCTGATGATCTTCAACGCGGAACTAAGTCCAATTACACAGGCTTGTAGGATTTCACCTCCATCGAGATGTGGCTACATTGCGGCACCTCCACCGACCGAAATGCACTTCATTGCAACCCACAATTCCATCTAGCTGGCACTGGCCTAAAACCATTTGTACTTTTGCGGATGTTCTGCGTAAACTGCTAAATATCGCCACGTTCCTGCCTCAAGTTTTCTTATGGCTCCGTTACACTGTAAGTAATTCTCAGCGCAAACCACACCTGCAGTGTTACAGAAGCTTCAGGGCTGTAGTATATCGTTTTAAGATTACGCGCAAAACGCGAACGTTACAGATTATTGTGGAATCCATATGGCCGCTAACGATAGCTCTGGAATATCTTACGGTGCATGTATGAATGACGACGCGCTGCAGTGTTTGTCAGTTCATCGATGGCCGACGCTCTGTTAACCGCTGTCAGGGCCAGTTGTGCATCACTGTAGTCTGACCATTCATTTACCGGCTACATGTTCGGCTCGAAAAAATATTTTCATTTTAGACAAGCCGCCTCTTCCTTCGTCATCGTCATGACCCCGCGACCATATATCCTGCAAACTATAAGCGGAATCATTAGGGAGTTCGCCATTTACAGATGGCAGTACAGTGCTCAACTCGCATTTCTATAACGATGAAGCGTCACGTGCGGAAGAGCACGGGCAACATATGCAGTCACAACTACGCCACATTTGAGCATGCGTGCCACCAGTGATCAGCCTGCCTTGCAATACTGATCCTTGTTCATTACGATGGATGCAACAACCGCTTTGGTCGTCGAAAGCGCCCTCAACCATTTACGCGAAAAAACGAAAAGCAATAAAAAAACGAAGTGAAACATTCTGGCTGTGATATAATATCACGAAGTGAGAATGTGTATATATATATATATATATATATATATATATATATATATATATATATATATATATATATATATATAGGCTTATATGCAGAAGAATAACTACGGTTGTCGCAAGGTTATAAATATGAAAGTAGATGCGCTTTCACGTAACAACTGTTTATTTTGCCGACGTTTCGACAGGAACCCCGTCTTTTTCAAGGCAAATATATATATATATATATATATATATATATATATATATATATATATATATATATATAATGGGGCTTCCCGTGCTATTGCTTTTTTTATTTTGGTTGTATAATGCTGACAGCGCTTCGATGGCCACAGCAGTCATTGTTGCAGCGGAGATAAAGAAAGGTGGAAACTGCAAGGCAGGCATGCTCAGATGCGGGGTGGTGGGGGAGTGGTTCTGTTGCAAGAAGGAAAAGTGAGCCCCGTAACCGTCTGCTTCAGGGAGCGACGCCTCAACAGTAGCTCACAAGGAATGGGGGTGAGGAGGGATTAAAAGGATAGGAATAAAGGTGTAGAGAGAGAGAAAGAGAGATGAGGTAAGCGTGAAAGCGTGAGAGCGACGACATATCGATGGGATAGGAGAGATAGAAAAGATGGAAACACGGTCACAGGAGTCCGAGGACGGGGCACCACTTGCGAGAGCTTTTGACGGCGTCAGGAGAGGGCGTAGAGCAAGTCCAGTTAGTCAGAGCTACGCTGTCGTCGGAGATCAGCGTCAGGAGATGACGTAGGGCGAGCCCAGTCGGCCAGAGCTACGCTGACGTCGGAGATCGCGAGGGCACAACCGTTCGGCACGGAATCTCAGATGTGGCGTATTTGCGACTACATATGTCGCTCGTGCTGTTCCGCGAGCGACGCTCCATCTTATAGACATGCGACTTTAGCACTGTACGCTGTCGTTTTTTATATAACGGAACACTCGAACGCTTGGCCCGTGCTCGGCAGCGGCTGCCTATACAGCTCCATCAACCGACAAATGAAGAAAGCACGTTCGCGTTTGGCGTCATCTATGGCCAAGCAAGATAACGAGTCATGGCCGGTAGACAAGCGCTGCTAGATTACGTTCCCTCACCACTCGTGGGGCGAGTGATAACGGGGTATTACTGCAGCTTGCGCCGTGGTTGCGCACAACATTAATTTTATTGACAGTGGACAACGCACTACAGGCGTGAGCCGCGGCGGAGTGCAAACTAGCAGCGCTTGTCTACCGGCCATAACTCGGACGACAGTGTACTATCGGCGTCAAATGAAACCCGAACAGCGGTGCGCATGTTTCAAGCATTATAAACAGTATAGTGTCGCCGTCCAGTCATCACCATTGACAGGCATGCACATCCGGTTTGGCAGCACTGCGCGATCCCCCCCACAGTGCGTTATCTCCGTTTCTGCTCTATTTTTCGTAATGTGGTAATGGTGGCCATCGAGGTCGTTTCCAAGCGCTTTTGATCGTATCACTCGCAATTCCTTGCTTTTACTTCAGCGTCGCAGTGCAATCGGTGACTTTGCGCGATAAAACAAGAAGAGAAATATAACCGGTTTGCGGTTGATTTGCAAACTATCATCGTATCTCGTTCGCCAGCGTCGCTTCACTTGCACCCTTCTTTCAGAGACCTACCCGAAAACGCATCCCCTTAACAGGAAATGCCGAGCGTTTCTGTAGAAGAGAGAGCGCAAATTGTGTCGCTTTACCGGCAAGAAGTGAAACAGCGTGAAATCGCCAGCATTATGAACCGACCTTTGTCTACTATAAATAGAATCAGCCAGGAATTCCATGATGATGGACTCCGTGATGACAAACAGTGCTACAATACTCGCCTTTGGCTGCAGTTTTTAACCTCTGTTTTTTATTTTATTCCTTTCAAATACAATACCTGGAACACAAGCAGAAATATTGCACTATAGGGGGATCGAGCAGTGCTGCCACACCGGATGTGCGGGCCTGTCTGTGCCAATGACTGGTGGACGGTGCGCACTATGCCATTGATAAGGCTTGTGCCACGCGCTCCGCTGTTCGCGTTTCATTTGATGCCGATAGTACATGTAAGGATAGAAGAGACGTAGTATATGAAGCTTATTAGTATGACAGATTAAGAAGCTGCAAAGCAGTCACGTTCATACTACCCAACCTTCTTTCTTGGTTGGTGTCTGATTGCGCCGCAGATATTCAGAAAGAGGTTTCGGCTCTGCCTTTGGTTTTATATGTTGAAGGAAGCCAAGTGATAAAAACGTTCGGTGAGTACTTCTGATTCGGCCACACACTTCCACTGATGCCCTCATCGCGGCTTGGCTGGCCCTTAAGTTTAGGATTTCTGTTCTTTAATATCCAAGTCCAAATTTTATTCCAGGAAAATCTGCCTGTCAGAAATCATTTCGATACCGAAACATAAAAAAGTGAAACGAATGTAAACCCTGCCAAAATGTTTTACGAGGTTTCATGTTTTTCTTTCTATCTTCTCTTTTTCGCTAACCTCTCGTTTATGAAAGTTTTGCTAGTTTCAATGCAATCAAAATTATGCCTTCAGGGCTCATCGTTTAGCTCTATCATAGTTCCTATAACTTGATTGGCTTTCTCATTATGCTTATACCCAACACGTACGTGGTTTCTCTAATCTGCACTGACTGTTTTTATTGTACGTCTACTTTACAGGCTCATTGCTGGAATGAAGCCAACGGCTGCCAGTTTACGGGAACCATCGAAGCTGTGCTGCAGCACTTCGATGGAGAATGCGCCTTCCACGCTCTCCAGTGTCCACGCTGTGAACGAAGACTACTGCGAACAGACATCGCAGCACACTATGTCGCCAGTTGCCACCGGGATGCTTCTCACGGAAGTGCAGTTCTGCCGAACCAGCGAGATAGTTCATCTATCAGTTACGAGAAATCAGTATCGGAAAAGTTGTCTGCTCTTCAGAGGCAAGTATATGGACTCTCCAGAACGTCAGAGTCGGCGCGTTTGAATGACATCTGCCGCACGGTCAGGGCATTTGAAAGTAGTTGCTTGCGTGCAATGAAAGACGTCGAGTTGAACATTGCCTCGATGTTGACTCAGCAATTGAACGCTGGCCTGGAAGAAGTGAAGATACTTGTCAGAGACCCCTTAAGTGATCAGCTTTCGTAGCTTCAGGGCCAAGTGAACGAAATATTTGAACATTCCAGGCTGCACGACGCCTCCGCAGTGCAGGAAGTGGTACGCGAAATTAGAGACTCGCAAAGTGAGTTGAAGCGAGATGTACAGGCAACGTCTCAGCTAATGGGGAGCATGCTTAGCGACAGCGAAGGTAAAATCAAAGAAAGCCTTACAGCCCTATTGCAGGAACTTGTACACGCGCTAAAGGCATGTGAATTCGAGATGAAAGAACGAGTAAGTAAGGTTGAGGCTAATCTCTGCAGCAAGATCACGGAACAACAGCAGTCGCTGAAAGGAGCGCTCGATTCACACAATAATATATCCACCGAAACAGAGACTCCAGTTGGCACTGCTGCTTTGGGAAGAGGGGAAGTACCGCTGAACTTGCAAGAGGGGTTAATCCCGTTGAAGCTGGAATTGTTCGCTCACGAAACACTGAAGACGGTGGAATTTTTGCGGCAGCATGTTTATAGGCGAGAGAAACAACTGTGGGTTTCGATTCATGCCGCCGACTGGGACACTTACGACGTCATGCGGCACAACGTCTCTCAATATCCATGCTTCGGCGTGACCCTGAACAACGCTGAAAAGATATTTTGTGCGGAAAATGAACTCTCCATTGTAGCAAATTTCGTGCACCGCAGGGAGATGCACATTCAAATTACCTTTTATTCTTCTCATCCCCTCGAGCCTTGGTTATTCATTTATGTAGATTGCGTTAAGGCTTTCAGAAATTCCTGCTTCCCTTTCACTAAGATCACTGTAGAGGCTGATGGGCGCCTTTTTCATGAATACGGTGGGCAAACAAATTGTGCTACATGCTCCGGAAAGAATATTCCCCATCTTATTGCCAAATTCAAAGTAGAAAAAGAACAACTCGCTAAAGACGGCGTCATCGAAGACGGAGAACTTGAGTTGCTAATCAAATTTCAATAAGTGCACAGCTACAGTCCACACGCAGCGCACGATTATTCTTTATTACACATATGCCTATATGTGAAATATTGTGAAGGCAGTGGTAGCGTCTTTATATTTTGTCTGTTGCTGAACCTCTGTTTTTGGCTTGCCAATTGGACGCGGCATTATTTCGTCTGTAAATTTATTAAGTAGAAAGCAGAACACTCTGTTACTTTCGACGAGATTTGGGGTGTGAAAACATGATCACATATCGTAGGCCCGAAGCGGGTTAGCTTCGGGGTTACAGAGTTGTTGAATTTATGACAGGCACCACTACGCACTCCCACGTGTAGAACACCCTTCCTTCGTTCTCTCGAGTTCGCAGTGTTATGTTCGCTTGCGTGTAGGTTGCCACAGATGAGTTGGAAATATGCACGCACAACATGAACAAATAAAGAAAAAAATGCTGCTTAAAGGATTGAATCTACTGGCCACGACAAGATTGGACTGTAGCGTTGAGACCACTAACCTAGCGTGGGCTTCAAAGTTTGATCAGACGCACTGCGCAATGATGCGTGTTCGAAAGATTTTTCGTAATATGGCTACACAAGGCGTTGTGACAGGGTATACCTTTGTTTTTGAGGGCATGTAAACATGGTTGTATAAAGTGTTTCTAATAAAGTGACGTTTGTATTCTTTTGTTACGATAAAGTGATATTTCTTGCGATGGATTAACTACTTAAGCCACTCGTTATTGCAGCACCCCGCGGACATCGGCCAACCACTTCAACTGCTTTTTTTTTATTATGAGCTGGCTATTTGAATTCCTTTCTCGATTTGTAAACACAAGACGGGAGCCAACAGATGGAAGGAACTACGTAGTGGGGTAACCAGGGTAAACAGTGAAGGTACCTTAGACAGGCTGGCTGACGTTTCGATAGGAAGATCGATCTTTGTCAAAGGTGCCTTGTAATCCTTGGCGTGTTAGTTTTAAGGGTGTGGGTAACAACGTCAATTCCTCATGATGGCATGTGTTCCTGTCGGTAATCGCCGTCTGAAAAGGAAAGAAAAACTATAATCAGAAGAGTACAGTCCTCACTTCATTTCAGGTTAGGCGGTAGTGATTGAAAATGTTCTCGGAGATGGGGGAAAAGAGAGAAAGTACACACGCAAAATAGGAGTGGTGTGCTGCCAAGCGGTGGCCGCTACAGACACGAACGAAGAAAAAAAAAATTGGCAGATCCCATGTACAGTGGGAATCGATGATATGCGAAGCACGAATGAGAGATGTTGGTATGTCATTATAAAATCAGCAAAACGTTACGAGGTGGAGGTAAGTGATGCCATACATGACTTCCGTGTCATGATTATGTTCGTGTGTCTTTTACCTTCGTCATAGATTCACGTCACGTGATACTAAATTTAGTATATGTGGAGCTAGCGAAACGACCACGAGCACGCTATGAGCGTCTATGAGCGTGGTATGTTGTCACGTTCTTAAATGACACGCGTGTCAGTATTATAATGTTTGCACCAGTCATACACTTTCGTCATCCATTGACGTCACTAAACACCAAATTTCGTATATGTGGAGCTAGCGAAACGGCCGTGAGCGCATCATGAAGGGCCCAATATACTTCAATGTAGCGTTGACGTGCGCGCACACTGGGCACAGCAACGCTACGTTAGCAAAGCGCGAGCACTCTCTTGTCTGACGCCAGGCGCGACCGGTGCGACCAGCGTCCGTCGGCGCGGCCCGATGGCAACCGGTGCGAAATGCGACACGCTGCATTTCGCGTCAATGCGTTACCCAGACAACACTGCGTCTCCCCCTTTCGGGACGGAGGGACACCGGACACGCTTAAACGCGCATGCGTCAAAGCAACGCAGCGCAACGCGTGTCTGCGAGTATATAGCAGGACCAGCGCCTGACGTCGCAACGCCGGCTTGACGCGTCGAAATGAACGCCGGCGAGCACGCGCACCGCGTCACGTCGAAATGTATTGGCGCCTTGACTGAGGCATGTAGTCATGTACTCACATGACACACATCTCATGATTATCATGTTTGCACCATGATGCAGTCACATACCTTCGTCATCCATTGACGTTACGTAATGCCAAATTTGGCATGTGTGAAGCTAGCGAAACGGCCGCGAGCACATCATGAGCGTAGCATGTAGTCATGTTGTTACATGGCACGCATCTCATGTTTATCATGTTTGCACCCGTATCATACCTTCGTCATCCGTTCACGTCCCGTCATACCAAATTTGGTATAAGTGAAGCTAGCGAAACGGCCACCAGCGCATCATTAGTGTCGAACGTAGTCATGTTTTACATGACGCGCATCTCATGATTATCATGCTTGCACCAGTCACATAGCTTCGTCATCCATTCAAGTACCGTAACACCAAAGTCGGTATATGTGACGCTAGCGAAACAGCCGCGAGTGCATCATGAGCTTGGCGTGTAGTCATGTTGTCACATGACACGCAGGTCATGATTTTCATGTTAGGGTCTGTCCACTTGTGTTCGCCATGCAGTCATGTCATACCATACCAGTTTTGCAATGTGAACGAAAGCACCGCAAGAGCTGGAAGACCACGAAATGTAAATCATGACATTCGTGACATGCATGTCATGATTTTCATGTTATGACTAATCAAGTATGTTCTTTATACACTCATGTTGTGCCATACCAAGTTGGGTATCGATACCATTATCGAAACCACCAGGAGAACTAAGTCGTAGGCGGGTAGATGGATGGATGGATAGATAGATAGATAGATAGATAGATAGATAGATAGATAGATAGATAGATAGATAGATAGATACGCTCAAAGTCGCCGAAGTTCGCTAAGAAATGTTTCCCATTTAAAAAAGTTTGAAACTTCGAAGCCGGCATACGATCACCCCACCCGGTCACCACAAGCTGCTTTTTTGTTGTGCGTCTCATTCATAGGTGTCCGGGAACAGGCGTACTATCATGATGAATATGAGCACGAACACGTGAGCGCGTGGGAAATGACATTGAAACCGAGATAACGTGACAAGTGGATGGCGCTGCCGAAACAGTTAGGAGAGAGGAGGGGCTCTTCCGCTGACGATTGGCACTCCCGCATGATTCTTGCTGTGAAACGGCAGCTGAGCGCGTGCCATCGGCCGCTAGCAATGACACTAAAAGAGAATGCACCAAAAACAAATGTGAAAGATGCGCGTCAAAATTGTCAGTGAACACCACCAAGATACAATAAAAGCTTGGTCTGTGCATCACGGCAGGCTAAATGTCGCAGCCCATATCTTCGTAGCTGCACACCCTGATTGCTTCTGGCTGTACGCGTTCATGTCAGGTCGTGTCACCGCCGGCAGCCAAAGACATGCTATAAGCTGCAATTTGCAGCAACAATATCGAAGCTGGAGTGTCAATAGCAAGTGGAAGTGCACCGCCCTTTCCACTTTGTTTCTGAAAGGGGCCGCTACGAATCAGTCGATGTAGGGTTCGAGGCTATCCGCCACGCGTTCGCGTGTTCGAGCTCATATTTATTTATTTATTTATTTACATTACCCTCAGAGCCCATAAAGGCGTTACAGAGGGGGTGGCTAATATAACAAAAATGCTCACGATTGTACGTTGCTATCGTCGCCAACTCTTTGTGGTGGCCGGACGTGGCGACCGTCTGCCGGCTTCAAAGTTTCAAGCTTTTTTGTAGCGTGAGCTACACTGGCCTCGCGGAGCAAATTTTGCTTGGCACTGGTCTGCGCATGCGCAATGATACTCCGCCGCCGCCGCGCGCGGCTCGCCGCCGGTGTGCGCGCAATTCGATGCGCTGTGCAGACGATCAGTGGTGTCACGCACCGGAGCCGGCACCTCCCTCGCCCTCGGCCGCGCGCGACTCGCCGCCGCCGGTGTGCGCTTTCCAGAGGAGTGCCGTCATAGCCTTGGTAGACACATGGACGCCGACGCGCGCGCCTTCCCTGGGCAGTCGCCATCTGACACTGAGCTGCAGACGCTTGATAGCGCCTCTGACTGGTGTTTTCCACTGTGGTACAGTCACGAAGAAGGAGAGTGCAAATGCTGCTCAACGGTGCAGTAGAGCGGAGAAGCTTACCTCATCGGATCCCGAAGTAGTTTCCCGGCAAAATAAATATACATGTGCCACATAATACGTATACCGTGTGTGTGTCGTTGGAACAGCTGTAAGCAGGATACCTGGAAAGCTAAGAATAATCAGCTGAACCTTTGCCAACGCTACGTGTACCCTGGCAAAGCTGAGCTAAGTCACTGCCATTTTTTTTCTTAGTTCGTGTCTGTAGCGGCTACAGCTTGGCAGAACACCACTCCTACTTTGCGTGTGTATTTTCTATCTTTTTTCCCCCCTCTCCGAGAACATTTTGAATCGCTACTACCTAACCTGAAATGAAGTGAGAACTGTGCTCCTCTGCTTTAAAGTTTTTTTTTTTCGTTTTTTGTGCATGACATCCGAAGTTCAAGCAAGATTACCCCACTTTCTCTATTTGTGGCGTACTTGTTGGGTGTAGGAGTGCTCTCGAAGTTTTGTTTTTGATATTGTAATTTGTTTCTGTAATTAAAAAGGTATGGGGCTAATTGAGTACCACTGTGTTAATACCTCCATTAGACTACCTATTGAAAAAAATGCGTCAAGAAAACAGACAGGAACATGCGGGAGAAAAATTAATCGAGGAACAAAGCCACAAGATTGCGTCTAAGGCTAGCGGATTGTTCAAACGTGACCGCAATGTTTTCCGCGTGTGGAAGGCGCTCGCTGTGTTGACACTTCGACCTTTCTTGCCCTGTTTTCGGGTTGATATGTGGATAAATATACTGTGCTGAGTATTGCCCGAAGTTCACCGATGAAAATGCGCTTACCAGCCTTAAATTGAGGGCTTGTTTGTTAGTTCTCGAAACGCAAATGGTTAGTAAAAGATTAAAGCAGCTTCGCATCGGGAGTGCCAAGACTGAGAGAAGTGGACAGCTGGGAAGACGTTTTTTAGGAGCAAAGCTCCTTATGTCGTGGATCGTGTCTTCGGTTTGTAATCGCCACCTCTCGTTTTTTTTCCTTGAAATGTCCGCTGGATGGCGGTACTTGTATATAATGAATATATATGATGAAAAGTTGCGAGATGGCGGCACTTGAGTGTTCACTAGACGGATGAACAGACAAACGACCGGCGGACATTCGTACAGATGGACAGGCGAACGGACGTACAGATGGATGCATAGAGTTTTCTAATATACACTAGATGGAACTCTGGCGCTAGTGTATATGGGAGCTGCAACGCACGGCGCTTCAGTGAGCATGGGAATGATGGGTAGTACATACATATTTGTCTAAACTTCGTACTTCTGGCCTGATTTTGGCTCCGTGTGTGTTCGTGTGGCTTGGAGCTGTTTTCTCACGAAACAAAAATCGTCAAATGTTCAGTGGTGGCGCTTCACCACATTATTCTTTTAGACTTACCATTCCAAATCGGGTCACGAAGTTCAAAAGGGTTTAATATTTCTTTCAAAACAGAACCGAAACACAGGGAAAAACGAAGCCACAAGTACGATTCGCCGCCCGCAAGTATGAAGACTAGGCAAATGTGTGTTCAACCCTTCATTCCCATGGTCGCTGAACACTTGCAGCGACCGAGTCCCCTATAGGTAATTTTAGGAAA